GGCTCGGGGCTTTCTCCTGTGTGGCGTGCTGGGGCGCGCAGAGCTGGCCCAGGGCGGCCGCGGGACACTCGCGCAGCCCTCTGCTGTGACCGCCGAGCGCCAGTGCCCAGCGCTCTGCCGTTGCCTCGGGGACCTGCTGGACTGCAGTCGCCAGCGACTGGCGCACCTTCCGGAGCCGCTCCCGCCCTGGGTCGCTCGGATGTAAGTATTCTTCACGCGGGCAGAGGGGACCTGGCCACAAGGGATTCGGGAAAGCCGGAACCGGCGGGGGCCTGGTACGCGGCGCACAGCAGGGTAGCTCGGGCCCAGGCGCCAAGTGGGGTTCGGTGGGAGCGTGGAGATAGAATTGTTCCGGCCTCAGTCTCCCTTTGGATGTCTTGCGAACCCAGCAGGTGGTAGCTTAGCGCGCCCTAATGGGCCGCACATGGGCGGGGGCTGGGATCCACAGAAACTCCAGAGGCCAGGGACGCCTTCCTGCGCCCTGAGCTAGCCAAGGGGGTTCAAATGCGCGCCTCTGTAAGCCTCAGGTGGGAAAGGTGGCAACCTGCAGGCAGCTGGAGAGTTTGCATTCGCCCTGAGTTTCTGGTTGTGTAACTCAACTTCAGTTTCCAACTGGCTCAGGTCTCTTTTCCTGTCCCCAACCATAAATGATCCCGCACCTTTCATTTGGAAGCCCCCCTTAACATAGTTGGGTCACTTTCCAAGCTAGGCTAGAGGTACTATTTTATTCTTCCTTCTTCCCACCTTGCTTAATTTCGCAAGAGCAGAGTGTAACATTCTCGTTCTCGGCCAAACTGGAACAGTCCCGGTCCTTCTCAGAAGTTGGTAGATAAAACTGATCAGATAAGGAGAGCTAGGAACCATGGATTTTTTCAGAACCATGGGCGTGAGTTCAGCACGCCCAGAGGTTTAGAGGAGAGTGCTGAGTGCTGTTGTGCAAGTTTTTGGATTTTAGCTCGAAAGTCTGAAAAACCTGAAATCACTGCCAGTTGAGAGGAAGAACAAGGAAAATGTAATTTAGGGAAATGCCCATCCTTCTAAAATGTCATCTCATTCTCTCCTAGTCCCCGTTTTTGTTAGAATTGGAGGAGTGCTGTAAAATCAAAAATATTTCTTTTTTAGGTTGCCGCCTTGTTTAAAAGGAATGAACGTGCAATTCATGCTTAATTTAGATTTGGGCCTAGCAGAATTGCAGTGGAAATTCTATATTCTTTAACCATTCTAGTTCCCTATCTAAATGTCCTGATAGGAGTGGCAGACAGTTTAGTTAGATGGTTTGAGAAACTATGTTTAAATCATTGTGCTCATCTTAAATCCTTGACCATCACACAGGGTATCTTTTTGTGTGCGTTTTTAATAAACTTCAGTTTAATAAAAACATAGGAACTATTTAATTTCGTATCAGGGTATGTCTTATTTGGTGTTTTGTTTTGGTGTTTTTTTTTTTTTTTTGTAACAAGTGAAGATGGAGATAAGGGCTTTAACCTAGAGCAGGAAGACTTTCAATTAGTTGTGGCTAATTCTGTTCAATTGCCTCTTGTGGAGGTCATGCTGCCTTATTCATGAAATGTGAATGGCTCTATTGACGACATATGGAAGTGAACATTTGAATGGCTGGAGGTGAACACCTAGGAATAATAGAGGGATGAGAAAGAGAAAATGAATACAGTGCTTCCTGGGGTGTGCTTAGAAATTCTTTAAGAGTATTCACCAACTCTAACGTACATTTAGTAGTTCCTCAGTGTCAAGTGGCTTATTCAGTCATGCCAGTGTGCAGTATATTTTTTGTGACTTTAGATATCTTAAAAATAATCATGTTGCCCTTGATTAGAAGTTCAGTTTAACCAAAATGGGTTCAATACCTATTTAAACATTGTCTTAAAGGTAGCTGACCTAATTAGGATTTTGTTTTGCAGATAATTTGGTGGCACACTAAAAACAAATTACAGTTTATTTGGTTAGCACAGTCTTTAATTACATTTCCGCCAGCAGTAAATTGTCTCAATACAAGTCCACATTCCTTGAATGTATGTGAAAATAAGTTCCACTTGTGTAAATAAGCACTCAGTCAGTTGTCAGTAACCCTGCTGTGATCACTCATTGGACAGCTCTGTCATTCTTGTACTTCTGTGACTTTTAACCATCTTTGTAGGTGTCACCAAACCATGTGGTCTAAATTCTTCATTGTAAATGTTTCTTTTGTTTGTACTAAAAGCTCTAAAGATCTCTTCTCTCCCCCTTCGAAAGGAGCAGAAAAACAAATGGAATTGGGTTTTGCCTTCTCTGTTATTTAATGTTTTGGAAAAGGAGGTGTTAGAAGTTGCTACTTAAATTTTACATAATTAGAAAAATTCTCAAGTAGACTATTTCAGAAATAAGTAGAAAATGTGTGTTTTCTTCATATCTTACCCTCCTCTTTCTTAGGCAATTAAACTACTGAAAGTTTGTCTCTCCACCAGTTTATGAAAAGCATTATTTGGAAAAAGTTTACGTCTCTTTTATTTCATTTGTTTAATTGGCAAGTTAAAATCCATACCTGTGTTTGTATTTTTGCCACTTTTTTCGGTTGTAACTTAGCGTCCTAGGAGTACCAAGTGTGAAAAGTTGAATAGTGTAAACTGTTAAATAATAATACTCTACTCAGTTATTTCACAAAGTACCGCTAATACTTCATGAATATAGCACTTAAAATATTAATTATTAGAAACGTTGCTTGCAACTGCTTTTAAAGGGAGATTTGAGTTTACATCTACAGTTTGTGCTTAGAGTTTTGAACCTAAAGAGCAATGCTCATTAGAACGTTACTTAGCCAAAATAGGGAAAACGTGCTCAATTGCCAATAAGAGCTCAAATATTACTAAAGTCTCACTGGAATTTCAGAATTATTTATCTAATCATGTAGAAATGTTTGAGTTCTCAACAGGGTTTAGGCAAGAGTCAGAAAGGTAGTTTCTGCTGGTGTGACTTCTTTAGTGTTGGCCTGTTATAAATCTTCTGGTTGGTACCAAAATTGGGGGTGGGGTGGGGGCAATAGTCCTTATGGTTTTCACAGCTGTTTTTCTATATTTTCCAGACTAAAACTTGAACATAGCTGGCTGATTTATGAGTCACTTTGGATCAGTGTCTTAAAACAGCTACAGCCTGGCTTTTTGTTTTTCAGCTTTCCAGATTTCTGCTGAATTAGCAGCTCTGCAGGCCCCAGTGGGATTGATTAAGAAGCTGTGCTGGATTTGCATTTTAAAATTTGACTTGGAAGTCAGATTTCCAAATGCTCAAAAAAAAAAAAATGATAGCTTGAACCAAATGTTGTAAATTAATTATTTTCATATATATTTATTTGCTTACAAATATACACTACCAGAGACTTCTCTCTACTGTGTAGAAGGAGTTTTATTTTTTCAAGTATTTGGCCACCTAAGTTCTGGATAAATAGTTAACACCTTCCTTCCTCACTGCCTTCCCCTTATATTAGCCTCACTTTTTTAAAAGTTTTTTTAAAAAGTTTCCGGGGGAAGATGTTTATTAATGGCACTCCAAAGATGAAGACTCTGCCTTCCTAGTTGAATGTTTTATATTCTGGGTTTAAGAAAGAATTGATATTGCACAACTTGAATCTCTTTTTAATGATCTAGCCATAAAAACAATATAAGGAAGATTTAGGAATATGTGACATCCTTAACTGGGAAGTAATCATTTCTGAAATGCAAACTATATTAAATCTAAATTTAGGTGCATTAAAAGTTTCATGACTGTATGTATTTAGCAGTAAAAGTCACTTAAGGGGGTGATTTTTTTTTTCCTCCCATACATAATGTGGTTTTAATAGTACACAAAACCCCGGAATGGAAGTGTGTTGCAATAACTGAAATATTTAAAGTTGCCAACTCCTGCTTCTGGATCAGAAATGAGTGGTCCCCCCTATGTGTGCAGTTTCTCATTTTAAAGGTCTTTGTTAGGGATCTCATCTCGTTACTAGTTTTAAAAAAATAGTTAAAAAGGCACTCACTCTCATTTTTCATAGGATTGCCCTTAAAATGAAGTGGAGAGGGCTGTTTTTTTTTTTTTTTTTTTTTTTTAATAATTAAAAAGAAAATAACCTGCATAAAGTGTACAGGCCAGATTGGTTCCTCTTGTCCCTTTTAAAACTTGGAACAATGGGGGATGCAGTTTTGTAATTGTTCAAGGTTCTTTAAGTGGGTCTAGATGAGACTTTCTGTTGACTCAGGCTACCTCCCAGGTGAAGGACTCTTTTCCTTGGTTGTTTTTTAAACCATGTGGGAAATCTGTGACTGTCTGGGGTGCTAAAAGCACACAGGTTTTGTTTGAATCCTAACGTGAGTTGTTGGGCTCACGGTTTCCTTGATGAACTCCAGATGGATTTGAGCTGGGCTGTGAGGGAAAGTGTCTGGCTCCAGCCAGCATGGTGAGCGTGCACAGCAGTGGTTGTAATTGCAGGATTTTTATAGTCTAAAGACTGTGCCAGATTTTTTTTTTTTCATGTTATAACTCTACCAGAACAAATCTACTCATGTCTGTTACTGTCTGGTAGGTCTTCAGGCAAACATATTTCAAATAAAACCTTTGCAGATTTATTTTTTAGGTGAAATGGAGAAATCTAGGTTTGTTCTCAAAACAAAAACTCAAAAGACTGAAAGAATCTCCTTCTACTACTTGTTAACTAAGCAGTGAGCAACTCTGAGCTTCTCTGGGTGTGATTCTCTCTGTTTTCATTTGGAGGGTGGTATACTTAGGCATATAACAAATGTTTCATGCTTTCCTCCAGTCAACTTCAGTTACCTAAAACTTTAGTTATTTAAAAATCTTCATTTTAAATTCCAAAGGAATTCATCCTAAGGGTTAGTTCTAAGCTCCTTGGAGTAGGGAGCTTTTAAGCCATACTTTTTGTTTGCCTGGTTTTCAATAGCTGTCTAGTCATTTCATTTTCTTTCCACCATCTTGAAGGCATAGAGTACTGACACATATGGGGAAAATAACCGAGCATATTCACCAGATTTTATTCCATATTTTGAATCTTAATTGACTTCCTAGAGTATTAAATATGTGAGAGTTTGTTGTTCTTAATACTAATGATGTCCTGTGGAAATTGTTACTAAGTTAGAAATTATTCACAGATTTCTGTACAGAATTCTTAGTTTTGCTAGATGTTTGGTGTGGTTTATATTACACATTTTATTACCAGGTATTGTGATTTTGGGGGATTCAAGAAAGCAAAGAGTTCAAGTTGTTTTTCTACCTATTCAGTACTCACTCACTCACAGCACTACTTAAAATAATTTGTGTCTTAACCCAGAGAAACAAATAGTGTGAAAGCAATTTCTGTTTTGTCTGACTGTAAGAAGGACATTGATGCTTACTTTTGTGATACTAAAAGGTTTCTTTAGTGGCTTTGGTTTCAGCAGCCTGCCTAATTAGCCACTTTTCTTAAGCCATGATGTCATCATATCAAGTTGGGAGTGGGGCGATGGAAGGGGATGGGAGGGTGAAGCAAAACTACCAGTTCACAAAAGATCTGTTCACCACATGCCAAAAAACATCTCTTAAAACGTTTGTGGGCTGAAAGTATTTGAATCTGCCAGATTCAAACTAATTTTGTCCTTAGAGTTTGTATTTTGGAGTTTGGCATTTTGGTTGCCATCTTGTTTATGAACAGAATGGGCCAATTATTCTCCTGCGGTCTCAAGTGTTGATCGAGATAGCTCAGAAGCCTACACCATTAAGCATGTGCAGTGATTTTCAGAAACTACTTCTAGTTTTATTTATGTTTTCTTACAGAGACTTAAGTTACAACAGATTGTCTTCCATCAAGGCGAGTTCCATGAGCCACCTTCAAAGCCTTCGAGAAGTGTGAGTCTTAGTTCTTTCCTTCTGGAGGGTTGAATAAGATATATTACCCCTCATAATATTGAACTTTGAAGAGTATTTGGATTATAATAAGTTATTTAAAATTTTTATATTGGGAGATATCTTTAAACGATTCGTAAAGCTTTTGCCCCATGAATTACAGATTACCTAATCACTTTTTTTTTTTTAACATTTATAGGAAGCTGAACAATAATGAATTGGAGACAATTCCAAATCTAGGACCAGTCTCAGCAAATATTACACTCCTCTCCTTGTAAGTGATATTAACAGAATTTCACATGAGTGTTTCTAGGGACACAGGTTTCATGCGAACTAAAGATCTTACATGCAGAAGTTGAATATTTCTTTCAGAGTAATATAAAGAAGGGCTAACTTGTTTTCCAGCCTATAACTTTGTCACTCCTGAATTTCAAGTATCCTTCTTATAAGACTTTTCACATTTTGCTGTCCTTGTCAAACTGGTCTTTAAGATTCAAAGAAACCACCTTCACCCCATAGAGACAGGCATGTATATGATTATATTCTGTAGACAACGACTTTAATTCTGATACTGCTCAATGGTATGGGATCGGTGGAGTACTTGGTAGGTAGTTCTCAGTGGAGAATGATTTGTGGAGAGAAACTGGAGTTGGTAATAAGCCATTGGTGTATCCTCATTTTAAAGTGTGGCACCTGCAGTGGAAATCAGGGTTCAGAAACATCATCTCAAAATACCAACTTTTACCTTAAAACTAAATCTGTCATTCATATAAGTTAGCCAGAAATATCATTGTATGTTATTTTTCAAATATAAATTTTCACATGCAGTTAGAGTTGTGTTAACTTATCTGTATTTTTAGGGCGAATAAGTTATTTGTATTCCTATGTTGTGATTTCAGAATGATTTTTATTTATAGCGTTTAAAGGTGGCATGGTGGCATTCAGAATGCCCTTGATTTAATTTCTAAAATTAAGTCATTTATCACCTTAATCGTGAATAATTAAAACATTCATTTAAGCCATAAAAGTTAAAAATGTTTTCCTATGTTGCACAACTAAAGAAAAAACCGTCATTGTTGGTTGCTTCTGAGAAAGGTGTTGGGGTGGTTGAAATTATATAGTAAATTTCAGGAAAGCTGTTCAGTTAATTAAAGTGATCACTACTCAATTGCTTACAGCTGGTGATTTATAGAGGTTTGTTTGTGCTGAGGGGCCAGGGCAGCTAAGTCATGGGTGCAGCCGCTGTGTCTGCTTTCCTCTGTTTGAATAAGAACTAAGTGACATTTGATACTGATGTGGTTTTTCCGAAGATCAGAAACAGAAAGGAATGAAAGAAAAAGCAGTTGGTATTTGCCAAATAAACACTGAATTTAAAAAATATTTCTGTGCCAGCATTAATACCTATTTTGTCTGTCCTTTACAATTACTTAAAATTTTGGAATCTAATGGAATACTGGTTTCAGTATCTTAAACATCTTTGGCTCTTCTTGTTGGACCATTGGAGTCTTCTAAAAATTCCACTCTGCCCTGCTGTCTTTGCACTTTGTATTGGCAGATTCTGTCAGCATGTTCAAGAGAGCCTTCAGACCCTGGCATGCTTCATGGCTGAGAGGGTCTGCAGTGCAGTTTCCCAGTCTGGGTGGGGTGGGAAAAGCAATCTGTTCTTTGGCATGGTGTAGTTTTGAAAGCACAAGGACTTGTGAGGAAGTAGAAAATTTGATCGGAAATAAATGACCTAGTGTTTATATATTTGAAAGCTAGAATGCCTTCTGGAGAATTAGCAGCCTTCAAAATTTGAACTCTTCTGTGTATCATTTTTGTGTGCTGTGTGTCAAGTCAGTGTTGAACGTTCTCACTTTCTTCCCCCTTGACTTGTTGCAGTACATCTGACCAGTAATCTCTTTATTCATCTCGTATAACCATAGATCTGATTATTACCTATGCTGCATAGATTCTGGGAAGAATAATTTATGTGATGAGCCTGCTCACTCAATATGGAGAGTGAAAACTGTTTAATACCCATGAAGTATCTTGAACGTTATAGCTCTATTTGTGTTCTTCTACAAATGATGTTTTCTTCTATAGATTTCTTTGGATATTGAAATACACAGTTGTTGTTTCTAAAGCATTACTAATTTCTATGTTGTGTTGTAAAGGGTGGAATTTCTTCTTTTATGTACAAGTGCTTGAAAGTAATCTGAGCTGGGGCCGACAGTTGGCATGGTGGTTAAGGGCGCTGGACTCCCATGTGGCTGACCATGGTTCCAATCCACCTCGAGTGGCTTGCTTTCTCACTTTCCATCTTTCTCACTCTCTCTCTCACCTGTCCCTTTATGGTCAAATTAAAGTAAATAAATGAATAAGTTAAATTAGAAAGAAGAAAATAATCAGAGCTAAAAGCCAGTACTTGAATACATTTCTGAAATTTAAAAAAGATCTGGTAAACCACATAACATGACTCAGATTGGAGACTTGGTAGCGCCACAACTAAGTCCTATATCTTGTCAAAGTAATTTTCAGAATTTTCTATTTCTACGTAACCAAGTTTTCTTTTTTTTAAAAAAAATTATTTTATTTAACATTATTATTATTTTGCAGTTTGATCAGAGAGAGACAGAGGAAGAGAAAGGGGGAAGTGAGGGAGCAAGCCACCAGGTCTGGGACTTGAACCCCGGTTGACCATGTGGGAGTCAATCACCAAGCCACCAGCCGGCCTGATTACCAAGTTTTTGTGTGTGTGTGTTTTTTGTTTTTTTTTTTTTTTTGACTTTGTATGTGTAGAGGAAAACATTTTTCTAGAATATTTGCACAGGTTAACTAATTTGAAAACTTGTGTTAAAGAGAAGAATAAAAAAGTTGCAGTCCTAAGCACCAGGTTTAATATCATGTTCCATACTGTTGCTAATCTGAGCAGTGGTGCCCCCTCCCCCACCAGGGGCTATATGCAGAGAATACCTAAGTTTTCCTTCCTTCTGTAGCTGTAGGAGTCAGCTACAGACTCCAATGTCCAGAGCTGAATTCAGTAAGAGACTGGTTCCAATAATGTCAGGGAAGCCATAAAATGCCAGGAAGGTGGGATGGTAGGTGGATGAGCAGTGAACATCTCTACTAGCAAAGGTTATCCCTAACCTTTCCAGTTCTCTTTTAGAATATAAAAGGCCTGAATAGACTTGCTTTCCTTTGACTCCCATACAGAGCTAGCAAAGAAGGCAACTGGCATGCGAGGGGCAAGGCATGGTTTGTGTCTATGTGTGTTTTTTCTCTTACGATTTCCTGACTGACAGGATGATGATAATATTTTAGGAGAAGAAATCAGATAATCATTGAAACAAACATGTGGTAAAACCCTGTTGACTTGGTGTAAGTGAATTGATTTTTTACCTATGCACTGGTTCTGTCTTTGTATAATGGGGCATAACCTGCTCTTGTTGAATACTTTGAAACCTGTCACCCGGGATAAGGAAGTTTTAATCCTGAGTTAGGAAAATTTATGCAACATTATTGTTGAACAAAAAAACCTTGCTGGTTATTAAATAGAAATAATTGGGTCTTGGTCTTGATGTTGATGGTTTATGTAGTACTGCCCAGCATGCAAATTCTTGCCTGGTGTCCTAGGTTGAAAATGTTCGGTTAGTGACTCTCAAAGAACCACCTGTAGTACTTGTGAAATGTCCATTCCCCAGCTCTGTCCCTAAAAATTCTGAATTGGTGAGTTTGGGTAGGGCCTCTGATTATTCCTTCTAGTATATCTACGCTGTTGGTTCTGATTAGATATTTTGTAAATATTTCTGGAATTACTGATAAGATTTAGTGTTATAGTCAAATAAGCCTTTATTATCTCAAAGGGAGAATATTTCTCTCTAGTTCATCATTTTCTTCATAGTCTGGCATTTTTCCAGAGATGACATTGTCATCCTTCTAGAGAAGTTGATTATCTTTCCTGGTAGGTCCCCAAAACATGTGTTCTGTCAATGGGAAAGCCATTAAAGAAGTTCAGAGCAGAGCAAGATGACCAGATTCGCTGTTTGAAAATGCCACTCTGGCTTTAGTAGAAGAATGTCCTAGAGGTGGCAGGAGGGTGGTTTAGAAGGGAGCAGATTATTTGCATATTGAAGCAGTCTAGGAATGAGGGCAGCCCCGTTCTCCTACAGTAAGGCTACAGTTACCTCAGCAGAGCTGCGATGAAGAGGAAGCTCAAGTCAGGTGTCCTGGGATTAATTGCTGGCTCTACCCTGGGCTAGCCTTGTGACCTTGGGCATGTTACTGTCTTTCTGTGTTTCCTTAGCTCTAAAACAAGAATAATAGTGCTGCCTATCTCACAGCGTTGTTGTGACAATTTGGCAAGAACACATAAGGAAGAGCCATCAGTCCTACATGGAGCGCTCAGTGATTGTGAGCCACAGTGACCATGATGATGATTCGCTTAACTAAAACTTATTGAACACCTACTGTGAGGGGACTTCAAAAAAGATGTGGAAAAATGGAATGAAAGGACTTACCTATTTTGGTGCAAAAGATTTCAAAATCCATGCCTAATTTTTTCATGCTATCAATTTCCCATGAACTTCTTGAAGACACCTTGTGTGTGCCAGGTTCTGCTTTAGAGGCTGGGTACACAGCAGTGAAAACACCAACAAACTCCCTCTTGCCATGACACTTCCATGCCAGTGAGGGGAGAGAAGAGATAAGCAAACAAACTAAAAGAAAAGATCTTCAATTCATGATAAATGCTGTGGTGGAGAAGGGAGAATAAAGGGATTGTAGGACTCAGGCAGTTGTCCTTTCATGTTGTCAGGAATGGTAACTATGAACGAAATCTTACATATGCTGGATAGCATTCTAGGGTTGGGACTCAGCAGTGACCCAACACCCAAAATCCTCTGCTCTCGTAGAGCTGACCTTGTCTGACAAGGAAAACAAAACAAATAAACAAACAAACCAAAGACAAAAAATAAGAGATGAAGTCGGAAGAGAAGTGCTGGGGAGAAAAATAAAGCAAGGAAGAGGTGTAGGGAGAGTGCGTGACCAGAGGGGGTTTCACTGTTATAATGGGGATACAGGGAAGGGCCCACGAGGAAGCTGATATTTGAATTGTCCTGAAGGTGAGGGCAGTTGTGTGTGCATGTATGTGTGTGTGTATGTGTGTCTGGGGGTAGGGGGTTATCTCTGCTAAGCCTCCCTTGCCTGGTGTAGGCCCATCTTGCCTTGTATGTCTACCTGTTACACAGTAATTTGATGATTTTGTTTGTTTTCTCTCATCATATTTTGAGATTT